TGATGGGTGTGTGTTCTCTTGAACTGGATTACTCTAACCTCCTAGGTATATTTGTGTGTGTGTGTGTGTGTGTGCATGCATGCAAATCAATTCAGCGCTGTTGGTTGCTGTCACATTTGGGATACGCTGCACGGCACTTCCTTGCGTGCCTTTATTGTGCTGCTATGCAACAGAGCGCGAGCGAGTGAACATGCGTGCGTTTGTGCGTGCGTGGAAGCCACCGGAGTAAACTGTAAACGCACGACCGCGTTGAGACCCCACCGACACGGACCACCTTAGCCCTTGCAAACATGTTTTGGGTACTCGCTACATCTTGGATTACACTTGCATTGAACCAACATAAAAGCAAAACATCTAAATCTACTTAAGACATATAACAAATAATTTCTAAAAAAGCTGTATGTAGCTTTATTCTAGTGTCCTTCTATACAATATAAAAGGCAACAAATTACACCTTGGCTGTCCTGTCAAATCTTACAATCAAAGCAATCCTTACAATCAAAGCAATCAAAACACACAGTTGATCACAGTATTCACTCCACACTGTCGTCAGATGACTAAACAGAAAGCAGAAATCCACACGCCTTCCACTGAATGACGTCAAACCCCTCGCATGTCAGGTTTACAGTTAGCTGCCACACCCACCGCTCGACTAGAAAGGCCGGTTTTACCCTGCTCACCAGAGACAATCCACCACACACACGGAAAACTGAACTCCACTGGATTGTTGGTTAAACACCCGGGTGCCCTAGATTCACGCGTCTCCTGGACGTCCGGGTAGAAGGACGTAAAGGCTCACAAAACTCATCAAAACAACATGTAATTCTGATCCAATTAACAACTCACTGCATGGGTCTGTACGTGCAGACGGGGGGGAAGAAAAGGAAAAGGCTGCTAAAGTGTGTTTGCGTGCGTGTGTAGCAGGTTCTCTGTTGCTAGGGCCCTGGCTAGCTTTGTCTTTCTGTTCATTTGCCTAGTGACCGGACTGGTAAGGAGAGGCATCATTTATGGTTTCCTGGGCGTAACAGCAACGTGCAAGTGTGTGTTTGTGTGTGTATAGATTGCTTAAATGATGATTCATTCAATGAGGAGCAGGAATAACGACAGGCTAAACAGATCTGCGCCAGCATACCTGTGTCAATTCTCTCACATTCGGCCCCTCTCATCTATATTAAATTTCCAGGCCAACAGTTTTCACACTCCCAAGGCGTCAGGTTAAATACATCAAACTGTGCTCAGCTAGACTCATATTTTCAAATACCGTGTTTGCTTTGTCTTTGGTTGCCGTGGTGATAAGAGTGCATTTTGAACCTGCAACAGTCACCGTTACAGTCACAGTGTAGGTTACAAAGGTCAAACTGGAATAGACAGGAAACTAAAAGGCAAAGACAAGATTTCTACACTACGATTTAGACTTTGGGAATAATTATATGGACACCACCACTGAAATCTCCCACCAGTCCAAAATATATGGGGAATATGGGGAAAACTAACAAAATAACCTTTAGTCCCACTACTTTTCATTCAACCCCAGTGTTGTCACATATAGCGAAGTATCAATATCAACGCTAGTTATTTAAAGCACTTTCAATACTCATTTTTACACATTAGAGATAAACGGGTACCGGCTGTGCTTTTTGTTTTCTCCCCGAATCACCACACACGGAAATATCGGTTTAATTTACGTTCCCTTGTTCAGGAGAGAATACTGCTCTTTTTCAGTTTCAACTTTAAAAAAGGGACCCTGTGGAGTTTTGGACCACAACAACTATGGATTGTTTTTACAAGTGGATGATTAAAGTTGTTTTACGCTATTCAGCTCATTGATAAATGTGATGTGATAAATACATATCAACTGCTTGTATGAAATGATTCTCATTAATCCAATGGCCCCTCCCGTCCTAAAGGAGTCCCACTGATCCCATTCCTACTTTTCCTGCCTGATAAAAGTACCGTACAAAGTTCAGCAACAGGAAGTGTACAATCGTAGGCATGATCACATGACAGCAGACAAAAAAAAAACAGCCATTTTGGAAAGGTAACTTCCAGGAACTGATCCTAAAATCACTCTTTGGTATAAACCAGATGGGTAAGATCCTTAGTATGGGCCATCTTGTAACCGGCACCGTATTTCAGAATTACAAATGTATCCTAGTTCATCGTCTCCCATACGGGCCTCCGACAACGAGGGATACAATCCATAACACATCACCCTCCCATGTGGGGAGGATCCAGCTAGTGTGCAGCTACCCAAACAATGAAATGGAGGACAAAGTAACAATTCAAGAGGCAGACCAGTATTACTGGCTGCATTTGTCTGTCTTTTCAGAAGACGTGGCTCAAATGAATAGAGGGGTGACATTGTAAAACAGGAAATCAGACAATCAAGTGATAATGTCTGGGGAAGTGGACAAAGAGCACAACGCTTCAGCAGCCGTTTGAACACAAGTTACGTAAGTCCATTTTACGGAACTTTGGGTCAGTTCATGAGACTAAATGCATTGTACCTGGGCATTTTAATAAGCTTACCTGTAAAACTCCTCTATCCTCTTATTGGATACAAATTCACAGCATTCTAAAGTTTACCTGGTGTGACAACGATGAGTGTTGCATCCAAATAAGTTCCTCAAACTAACAGCCGGAAGCCAACCGTGTGGAGCAACATGTCAGATCAGGGCCACTCAACATGTCTGACATTTCACACCGTCGGAAAGATGTCAAAAGTCACTTCGGTCCGTTGGACAGGTCTCTTATGATATGGGCCCAACGGCTGTTTATGACGGCAGGCCGGTCGTCGGAGCAGTCGAGTTTTACAACGCAAACAGACATTCCTAAACATTAACAGCGTAGGTCGCCGGTCAGGTGTAAAAAGTGCTTGCCAACTTTCCAGTCAAGTAAATCGCCATTCGGCTTATTTTTATGTTAAATATTAAAATGAAACACGGTTTCATTCCGCTCAAGCAGTCTTTTTGCACATGAAGAGAAAATGTCCTTTACCTAGCGTCACATTGACTTATCAGATGAAAATATACTGACGGTGAGGGTCACGTCAACACTCAACCCGTCTTCATGTCTGGTGCCATTCTGTCCAGTATCTTGAGACCCGACACCAAAGGCTTTCTATACATGGCCCTTAGAACAGACTGGATTTGTGTGGGTGGATCCGTGTGTGACCCTTAGCCTACAAAACCAGTTAAGGACTTGCCATATAAACCCCCAAAACGTTTTGTGTTTGTTTCAAACCCCCCTAAATCCTCACTAGGTGCTGTAAGCAGAACAACGCAGGAGGCTCTATTGGTACAGGCGCCTGGTACAAACGAGGCTTACCAGGAAGTTCAGTGAAAAGTCTTCACAGCAGCACCATATCTCCTTCCCGTGAACTCAACAAGGAAGTTGTTCTTCATTTATATTTAAATGATCAAAACACACCAAACTTCATCCATAACATCATCCTTACAAAGTTTATTTGAGGGCCAATACAGCCGTAGACTTCTAGAACCACTGACCTCTGGTCGAGGGAAGGGTGGAGCCATGTAAGAGTATGTAGGTGTTGTTTGCACACACCTATAAACCTACCTGCCAGGCAACCTGCCTTCCTGCACACCGCAGCAGCGGCAGAGATCCATCGAGCGAGACAAGCCTTGGTGACATCATGTCACCAACCACTTCTGTCAGCAAGTTATTAGCACAAGAATTGAAGATGGACTGAGTCTTTGAACCTTAGAGTCTTAGGTTGGTTCCCTGTCGGCTGGTACGAGCGGGCCAACACTGAGGTCGGCTTTGCAGCGGGGTTGGGCCTTCAATGTCTCAGGTAGTTAACTGTTTGACAAAGGGTGCAGTTCTTGCAACAGATTGTAAAAAAAAAAAAAAAAATCAACTACAAATTAATACCGTGTCCCTTATTTAAGATGTTATGTTCCCTGAAAAGCTGAGATATGCATTTGTTAACAAATATTTAACAAATGTTCAAACCCAAGTGCTGTTGTGTATTTGCTCTATTTATGTTGCTCAAGTCATCACGGCCACGTATCAACCGCTAAAACCCTAACCCTTACCACAGCTACATCGTTATACCTAGACACTCGAGCAACACAAATATAGAAATGGGTTAGCCTCACACGCGCTACTATTATTCATCACAGGATGCTTGTCGACAGCTGTACAAGTAAAACATGGCATCGTCTGTATCGGACATCCTGCCGGCTTTCATGTCAACAAGATGCTGTCTTTAAAGCAAAGGCTTTATTCTTCTAGCCTAATAATGATTTATGGTAAGTGGTGTGTTTGTCTTTATAAACACACTACTAGTGTGTGTCTGTTTCCGAGTGTTTCTTCATTAAACCGATTATTATGTATGTTAGTATGTTAAGAATACTTTTTTAATGTCTTAGTCAAATCAATGAATGATCGTCCTTGTTTCTTACAAGACAGCATTAGCATCAATACCTTTGAAATGAAGTTTTCCTTTATCACACAGCTAAAACTTCTCCCTCACAACAAATACAACTTTTTCTTCTGAGACACCATCCCTCAATGGGGTCATGCTTGCACCGCAGAAGGATTTTGTGGAGCAAAAACATAGAACATATCAATCAACACAAATCGACCTTTGACCCCCGAGGAAAGAGGATTCTGATTGACACTTATCAAGAGATTCTCATCGTTTCGGGGGCAAGGGTTGCATAAAACACACTTATCACACATGTGCTATGGAGAAATAGTAGGCCAGTTTTCGTGTGTATTGCTTCAGGTCAAAGTCCCGAAAAGTCAAGGAGGACGACATGCCCCGACACACAGACTAAACACAACCGTAAATGTATTATTCTATTCGGCACATCCAGCGGGAGTGCGTGGGCACGCTGGTGAATCACTGCTGTGTGGCAGAGACAACCAGAGACGGAGAAAAGCCAAAGCAAAAAGCGAATAAAGCTCGTGTCACAAAAGGAGATTTCTTTGTAGATATAAAATAACGTTATAACTTTTAATTTGGTGAGTCTTACCTGTGCGGTGGAGTTCTCAATGACTTGCACCAGTGGGGTCCTTGTTGACATTTTTGATGGACTGGAAGTTGCCAAAAAAAGGGAACAGTGAAGCGAAACGATTCGTCACAGTCTATTGTGCATTTAAAAGCTGTCCAGCTGATAGTAGAGAAAAAAGAATTCCAACAGATGTCCAGTGCTAGCCAGCTAGCTGCACGACAGATAGCCCGTGAATCAACAAGTTGAATCCCACATCAGCCGCTAGCCGAGTTAGCTAGCTAGAAACTAGCTAGCAGCAACCGCACGTCCCATGTTTGTCAACAAGTGCAAAGAGGGAAAAGCAAAGTGACTCCTTTAACTTCGGCCGCTGTGTGAAACTGTGAAATTTAGTTTTCACTCAGAATTTACCAGCGTCGACGGCGACCAGCGAGCTAGCAGCCCGGCGATCTGTCGTCTTCACCTGCTAGCTACTCGGGCTAGCTTGAAGAAAAGTTGGGGCAACGGTTGTATAGAACCGACAAGCTTCGATCAGGTGGCTAGTTAGCTAACCCGTGAGGCTGCTAACTAACGTCCGAGGAAGAAGAGCTAACTGTCGCCGAAATCTACACCGAGTGTCGATCGGGAGTAGATTTCATAACCAGGTGTCGACTCCTTTTTTCCTAGCAGAGACGCTTCCTTTCGGGACTGAAATCAAGTCCGGGATCCACAAACTATCAGGCCAAAGTTATTCCTGGAGATGTCTTGACCTTCCCCAACTCACGCAAAACAATTCAAAATGCCCACAGTGAAATATCCAGGTGTGGTATCCCCCCCCAAAAAATGCAGCACCATGTAAAACAGTCACATCGCAGGTGAGAAACGCGAATTCAATCTGTTGCGCTCGTTAACGGGCTGGCCAACGTTAGCCCATGTAGCTAGCTTAAATCGGTGTTTCCTTCGAAGCAAAGCTAGCTAGTTAGCCTATCTTCCTGCGGCCGCAGCGGCGGGCACTGCCACAGAGCCGAAACTCTAAATCCACGAAAATCACCGGCGCTCTTCCTGGCGTTGCGTGATCGGAATACGGTCGTTGAACAGCGCTGCACTGCAGTGAGGCGACACACCAGCTCGCCCTGCCTGTACTGCGACTGCTGCGATCACCGGAACCGGCCGACCGAGGGAGGAATCGTCACGTTTGTAAAATCCATTATCGGTGTGCCGGGGTGGTTCTCGTTAAGGAGGCGCGAGTCACGGGCGACAGCGGGGGGGGTGGGAGGGGGGAGAGAGAAGTCGAGAAGCTGCTCCCGATCGTGGTCTATGCGCACGATCCTGTCCTGATACCGGAACAAGCTCGCTGCAACATGGCTGCTTGCACCACGACTGAAAGAGGAGGGGTGGGGAGGCAGCGAGTTTCGCTCCTCGTTCGGCTTTCTTCGGCTGCTTTTGAGTCTTCGGCTGTTTCCGCTGGTGAACGCGTCTCCTCCATTGTTGTTTTAACGGTAGCTTCCAGGTTCCAAAGCCCCCCCACCCGACCGGACCACCAGAGGCCCCAAATGACCTTGTGTGTCAGTTGCTTTTCTGGTCATTCCGTTACGTAGCCTACATATTAAGTGGCCTGCATAACAATATACATCTGGCCCAAGAGCCTTGAAACAAGTGCATATACGTTCATGATCATGTAAAAAGATCTTCAAACATAACTATCTTAGTTGCGGTTTGCTAGTGCATTGACATGTGCCAATGGGCCCACATACAATCATGTATTAATTCACAGAGGCCAGAATCCACCACTACAAGTGTGTGAGGGCTCTTGACTGTTTATAGTTATATAATGTGCCTCAATGTCCTCAGTGTTGTCCCAAAGCGTTGTTTTTATTCAGTCGCTGGTCATAGTCAAAGTGTTGCTGTCAAAATGCATGTTGGATTTTCTTCATGGGTTGTGTATTAAAGCAGCACACTAGCGGGCCTTGTTCACAAGCAAGGTGACCTTGCCTGACACTCTAGATCCTCTGGTTAAAGGGTTGTACACATAACATCAGAATGGTAGTTTAAAGTATCATTGTCTTCTTCTATTATCCCCTTTGGTTTTATCGGGATGTGTATATAGCCAATCGTCAAACCGTACCCCTTGGTGGTTGGATTATGGGTCTTTTTTTGCAATCACAGCTGTAGAAATTAAGTGCCATTTGTAAATGTGTACCCATAAATGTGACTGTTAGATGCTGACAGCTGGGAAGACATTCTCAAGTTACTAAGCAACAGCCACGGGCTGATGAGGACAATATGGCTCCCGTTGGTAGTGGTGGTGTCTGAACTCTGTCCATCAGCAGGTCTGGAGAGACTAGCCAAATGAATCAATGCCGACCATTTGCACAATATAAGGATGTTAGGAAGAAAATAAAGCAGAAATCAGGAAACGACAGGCTTGTTAGTAATGACTGGGAGATCATCCAACTGGCAGGATTTCCGGACGGATCAAGGGGGGAAAAAACTCACATCCCTGATGAGGAAGGAGTGTTTGTTGGGGGACACAAACAGTGCGCAGTGTTTTCACGCAGCCTTGTTGCTGTACCGGCGGGGCCTTTTTTATAACCATATCAATTAGTAAACAGTTGGAGCAGCCAAACTTGGCACAATACGTCCTCTTTTTCATTTTTCGACATTGAATTGACGCAGGGCCGACGTATGTTGTGACCAGCGCTTTGTGACGAATAGGAACGAAAAAAAGTGCACCAAATGATGCGTCACGTGCACTCAGTCACTCCACTTTTTGTTTGTTATGTTTTTATAATTCTTTTTGTGTTGTTTGAGTCTTCTTTGTTGCTGGTAAAAATGTGTTTTATTGTCGCCATCTGCAGGATGCCTGAATATATTACAGTTATTAGCTATCTCTAAACACACACATAAAAGATATATATATATATAAGTATATGTATGTATGTATATATATATATATATATATATATATATATATATATATATATATATATATGTATACCCCACACGCCGTCCTGATATTACTTCCTGCTGTGTGTCCCATAAATATTTTTTAATTTTTTGGGCTGGCATTCTTTTGGTCATTCTTTTTTGCAGCTGATTTGAGGTTATTTTAAAGTCATTTTGGATGAACATCAAAAACAGTATTTACTTTTATCTCCAGTCTCCTATTTCAGAGTGCCAACTTTGTCTAGCGTAGATCGAGGCTGCGACAGTCATTTTAATATGCAGCCAATCATTTTGTGTGTGGAAGCTGGCATGCAGTACACACAACCATACTTTTAACTGCCAGTCCGTCTCTGTAACCTTTATGCATCTTAACAAGAATCTAACTAACTCATCTTCATTGCTGTGACAGCATAAGAGCACAAAGTTTGGAAAATCTTCACCGTTCTTCAATTGTCAATCAATTATTCAGTGGCATCCGACGTCGCCTTGGTTGCAAGCGGGTGGAGCTAATAAGTCATATAACTGAATTCTTAAAAAAAAACATTTAAAAAAAGATAATGGATTCAAGCAGAAGGGAGATGAGGAAACTGATTTGAAATGGGAACTTTCCTTTTTTAGGAGACCAGGCCTTCCTTTGTATCACCAGAGGAAGTAGGGGCCTTGGACTAGGTGGATTTTGCCTGTTCGTATTTTCTGGTTCGGCAGCAAACAAGTTGTTGAATAATTTACCAGAGCAGAGCGTGTCTGTCCCCTGTGAGCTCGTCATTTGGGGTTTCCTGCATCAGTTTCCACAAGGTCACAATCCCCGAAAATACATCTGCACAATGAATTGTCATTTGTATTGTATTATTCCTATTATACAATGTACAACTTCCTTAACCCCTCACTTTGTTTGTGAATATTAATACAGCATAGGTAAGTTAAATTATATATTTTTTTACCATAGGATACTGTATTAATGTATTGTACTCATTCAATATCTGGAATATGTTTACCTGTTCTTGTGACTTGTCACATATATAAAGTTGATCAGATCTTAATCACCCTCATTGTCATTTTTGTGATGAACATTTTCTTATGATTTCTGTTCAAGGAGGAAGAACAACCACAAACATTTATTGCACCTCTAGTTTGTACTTTTATTCAAAACAGCCACATTTGTGACACATTATAATAATCTTTTCAGCAGAAAATAGGATAATCCCCCTGGAGCTCCACTAATCTTTTACTGAAATGTCTCCATTTAGCTCTGAATGTTTGAAGATAGCATGGGTGTTACTCTGCTAGTCTGACGTTAGCTTCTAGGGCCAACGGGGACGTTATTAATGGGCCTTTCCTGTTAGTGTCAAAGATAATTTTAATTACCTTCATCTGTTTGACACTACTTGGTATAAATAATGCCTCACCGCCTTGAGTCTGATGAAAAACGACACGTTACTTATTCTGCAAATGGAGAAGCTTGGTGAAGTTGTGTTTAACTGCATATTTGATTAAAGATACAGTGAGGGAAATCAAATGTTTATTGAGCAAAGACAGAAGCCAAGTGCAAACGACCAGCATGGAAAGATGAATTGGGATTTTGAAAATGACAACAACAACGTGATTCTGAGCATATCACTCAGTTATGCTCAGCAAATTCAGACATCCGAAGGCAACATATTCCAAATATCAGTTAACTGAGGAAGAATTTGAAAAGCTTTAAACTATGTACATAAATCAGTAGTGTCCTTGATGAGTAAAATAATCCAAATGTTTGATGTTTTACACAGAGAACATTGTGGTTATTAACATGGACCACAGGGAGAGAACGAGGAATAACATTTCCTTGAAGTTTGCTTAAAAATGACCTCCAGTATTCCTGTCATGCACCACAGAGACACTTATCTCATTGTCTCATTTGTGTAAAAAAAACCCTACAAATATACATCTTCCAAAACCATCACTTTTATAAAATCCTAGTAGAATTAAAAGAGGGCTCACACACAAAAAGTTAAAAGGGCACACTAAGATTATAAATAACAAAAGATCTGTGGGGCCGTTAAAAAAGCTTCGTAATCAGTCGGGGATTCACCTGTGACTCGCTCTCTTTAAATAGCACCGGGCAGATCGTCCACGGCAACAGTCGTCAGGTCGGAGTAGAAGTTGCCCTCATTGTCTCCGCCCCCGAACACCAGCAGGGTTCTTCTGACTGAGCTTGCGTCCATCGCCGCATCTTCACCTTCCCCTGAGAAACGGCGGTGATTGGCCGTGTCCATGGTGATGATGGCGTGGCCCGCCCTGGGGACGGACAGCTGAGGGAGAGTCACCTCCGTCCAGCGGTTGGTGTCTGAGCCAATGAAATAATATAATAATATTTTCATCATGAACACCCATAATATAATTGTCGTAATCAATAGAAATGTAATTAGTTAAATACGTTTTGTATCTATGGTAACATAAAATGCCCATCACGGTTTTGATACATCACGCCAATTCAATAACTACAAGATTAACTAAGTAATACTGGACGACTAATAAAGAAAATAAATGTGCCCCACTGCAAGAAAACCTCTGACGTTCTCTGACCAGTGAGTGTGAACCTATACGTCTTCATCTTGGGTGTATGCGAGTCTCGTCTCTCACCGGTATCAAAGATGAATGTGTCGCTGAGAGCGTTGCTCCCGTTGTAACCTCCGTGGATCAGGAACTTTGTGTCTGAGAGCACAGCACTGCCGTGCCAGCTGCAACACAGATTAAACAAAGCAGAGTGACGCAAATTACACCCAATATTTCTCAAAATTGTAGAAGACCAGTGAAGATATTGTGTGTGTATATATTATATATACACATATATGTGTGCGTGTGTGTATGCACCACACACATAAACAGGTTAAAACATCCTGTTCTAATTGGGCGTGTTTAATTGTGTACCTTCGAGGAGAAGGGGCGTTCCCAGTTGTTTTCACAGCAGAAAACTCCATCAGACCTAACGAGGAACCAAAAAGTTTCATTTCAACTATTCTAGCAGGGTTTTAACACCGCAAAGCGCACATATAAGCCTTGAATGTGCACTGGTTTCCCGTAAGAAGTACTTTGTGTGTGGCTCACCGAGGTCCAACATGTACATGTCGTTGTAGCAGACCGGAGTGTCCCACCCACCGAACACATAGATCTTCCTCTCCTGCATCACACATGCAGAGTGGCTGAAAAAAAACAAAAAAGGGAAGGTGAGACGGGGACAGAGCGTAGCGGCGGTAGCGCGCTGTGATGGGTGTTCGGATCAGATCATCTCACCCTGAGCGGGGGGAGGGCGTGTCGCCTGTGACGATGGGCTGGTACCAGATGGAGAGGTTGGGGTCGAAGATGTAGAGCGAGTCGCTGCAGCCGTCGGGCTCCGGGTTCGGACGAGGAAACACTCCTCCCAGCACAAACAGCTCGCCCCGGAACATGCTGCAGCT